GTTGCGATCTGTTGCCGGACACGAAAAAAACAAAAAGGAAAAAAAAAAAAAAAAAGAGGCTAAGTCAGCAGCAGGGGGTGGGAGGGGAAGGCAAAAGTCTGATGAAAACCAAGTTGTCACAGTCTTGTTAATAAGCAATTTCATAAGGAAAAACACTATGCTATGGAGAAACTAGAAACCGGAAAACATCTTAACCAAATGCTTAAAAGTTAACATCACCAATAAGTGGGCAAAAAAACCACCAGGCACATCTGGGTGTGAGACCCTGAGAAAGACACTTATGTAACGTTCCAGCCAAAAATGCACAACCTGAATATAATTGTGAGTAAACATCACAGAAACCCAAACTGACGAACATTTATCAACTGGCCTATATTCTTAAAAAATATCATTGGCATAAAAAAGGCCAAAGAACGGTTCCAGATTAAGAACACTAAAGAAACATGACAACTAAATAGAAAACGTGATTCTGGACTGGATCCCATACCAGAAAAAAAAAAAAAAGTGCTAGAAAGGGCAAAACTGGGACAACTGACAAAAATGGAATACGGACTACAGATTGAATACAAGTACTGTATCTATTAAGTTTACTGTATTTAATTACTGTGGATATGGAGAGAATATTATTGTCCTTAGGAAATACATTGAAGTATTAGGGGGTAAAGGTTCACGATGCAGTCAACCTACTTTCAAATGGTTCTGAAATAAAAATAATTATACATATAACACAAATAAAGAGAACGATAAAGTAAATGTGGCACAATCCATGGTAAAAATTGGTGAATCTGGGTAAAGAGTTCTTTGTACTATTCTTCCAACTTCTCTACAAGTTTGAAATTATCTAAAAATAAAAACTAAAGAAACCATAAATACCTATATTTCTAAATCTAGATTATAGGTATATCAAAGAGAGATGGAGAGAGACAAGCAGACATGTGCCTCCTGATGGAAGAACTCAGCATCAACGATTAAGTAGTCTTGCCCCAACTCCCACCAAAAACACCAAAAAAACAAAATCCAACCTAAGCCTGACCAAGCCTCTAAATCCAACTACCAATTTACAAGAAATAGATAAGACAGAGGAACATGGGGGTAGAACCAGCAAAACCCAGACTGTGGGGATCGCCATAGGACAAACCATTTTCTGCAACAGCAAAGGGGAGGAAAGATATGAAGAAGGAACCTATAGATTAAGAGAGACTTAAAAGATAACCAGTTTGCTTCGATATGGATGAAACCTGAAGACACTATGCTAAGTAAAATAAGCCAGTCACAAAAAATATGCTAAGTGAAATAAGCCAATCACAAAAGGACAAATACGGTATAATTCCACTCATGAGAGATACTCAGAGACAAATTCACCGAGACAGAAATTAGAACGGTGGTTGCCAGGGAGTGAGGGGAGAATGGGGAGTTAGTACTTTAATGGGTACAGAGTTTCAGTCTGGGAAGATAAAGTTCTAGAGATGAATGGTGCTGATGGCTGCACAGTGACGTGAATGTTCTTAACGCCACTGGACTGCACACTGAAAGATGGCTAAAATGATAAATTTCACATTATATCTATTTTACCACAATAAAAAATTTAAAACGATAACCAATTACATGCATCTTATTTGGATCCCAATTCTAACAAATGGTAAATTAAAGATACACATATGTATTTATGACATTTTGGAGATGGTTCGGACACTGTATGGGTATTTGATGATATCAGGGAACTATTAAAATTCTTTTAGGTGTGATAGTCTAGTTGTCATGTTAAAAAACAGTTGTTCAATTAGTAAATCTGAGAAAAAAACAAAAAAGAATTCTTATCTTTTATAAGAATATACTGAAATACTACAAAATGAAATGATATAGCATCTGGGCCACAGGTACATACAGGTTCATTATAGTATTCTATTTTTTTGTATATGTTTGAGAATTTCCATAATAAAAAGGTTGTTTGGTTTTTTGTTTGTTTGTTTGTTTTTAAATTATATTTTATTTTGTCAATATACAATGTGGTTGATTATTGTGGCCAATTACCAAAACCTCCCTACTACCTCCCTCTCCCCCCTCCCTCCCAACAATGTCCTTTCTGTTTGCTTGTTGTACCAACTTCAAGGAATTCTAATTGTTGTGTCTTCTTCCCTCCCCACCCCATTTATTTGTGTACTTATTTATTTATTTATAGCTGCCACAAATAAGTGAGAACATGTGATATTTCTCTTTCTGTGCCTGACTAGTTTCACTTAACATCATTCTCTATAGGTCCATCCATGTCATTGCAAACGGCAGTATTTCATTCTTTTTTATAGCTGAGTACTATTCCATTGTGTAGATATACCACATTTTCCATATCCACTCATCCGATGATGGACATTTGGGCTGGTTCCAACTCTTGGATATTGTAAAGAGTGCTGCAATGAACATTGGTGAACAGGTATACCTTTGACATGATGATTTCCATTCCTCTGGGTATATTCCCAGCAGTGGGATAGCTGGGTCATATGGTAGATCTATCTGCAATTGTTTGAGGAACCTTCATACCATTTTCCATAAAGGCTGCACCATTTTGCAGTCC